AATCGAGTCAGGCCCAGACTCTGAAGGGCATAGCTCCAGACCTTCCAGGAACTCTAACATTCCCTGCTTCCTCATGCTCTTCGCTGGTATTCGTACGAAAGAAAGCAAGTACACTGTGATTTTCTTCTGCAGATGCTTGTCGCTCGCTGGGTAGGAAGTCCAATCTGTCATTTGGTTGGTTGGTTGAGGTTACCTTTTCCCCCAGACAATCCATTCTTCAGTCATTTTCATGGGCTAGCCCATCCGGACCGCTGGGTTGGAGGAACTTGAACGAATTTCTCGTCCCTGACTAACTAATTGACCACGCCATGCCTACCTAACCTTACTCCCAGGATGTGCCACAGACCAGACCTTGACATGAACAGGCGGCGAGCAGCTTTCCCCGGAACCTAAATGTGGAGAAATAATATTGGATCTTGTACTTCCTGTTCTCTTCTCTTCGTCCAGTCTTTTCCCTGAGATTCCCGCAATCCACCCCCACGGGGACTTGTCGCTCCAATGAACATCTAGTGTCTCGTGCTCCTACTTCTCGGTACTGGCAAAAACTTGGATACCCGCTTTCTCTCAGTGACGCCTCATAGGGAGAGGAGTAGCCCATCTTGTTGAGTTGTGTGGCCTGTTTGCTCGGCCGCTTTCGAGCCGTCATCGGATACAGCACCCTCGGTCTTCGCCTCGGGGGTGGGCTGTTCAGTTCGAAAGCGGGAAAGGGTCACGGCACGGTTGGTGGGCGTTGAGCAATATCGAGATGCCATTCACCCAGTACCATCTACCGATTTATTATAAGTACACTTGCCCCGGTCCCATTACCCAGGAATCATAAGATGCAGCAAGCCGGCATCTCGGTAGCGAACACCAGGCCCTTCAACTCTTCTTTTCCGAGTGTTGCATTTGCCTTTTTGACTCATTTTATACCCAACTCGCAACGAAGTCATGGATCTGAAGCAGAAGGAAAGTCACGGCGTTGACCACGTCGACGTTGCGGCTATGGACGATCCGCATCTACAGCCACCCGAAGCATCGACGCTGCCGTGGTTTAAGCAGACAGAGCTGAGGAAACTTTACTTCATGATGGTCTTCCTCTTCCTGGGCTCTACGACACTAGGCTACGACGGAAGCTTGTTGAACGGACTTCAGACCATGCAGTCATGGCAGACCTGTAAGATGAATGTGATGATTGTGGCATGTTGTGATTACGCATGTCACAATCTTCAAACGATATCTATGTCTCCAACGTCTGTGTACTGACGAACTTTCGTATAGTCTTCGACCACCCCTCAGGAAGTCGACTCGGAATCTTCGGTGCCATGCCAGGCTTTGGCGGTCTCTTCGTCCTCCTCTTCGCACCCTACATCGCCGACGGCCTCGGCCGAAAATGGGGCACCGCCATCGGCTGCCTCCTCGTCATCTTTGGTGCGCTGCTGCAGTCTTTCCCCTTTGGATCTGGCAGGGACGCCATGTACCTCATCGGTCGCTTCATCATGGGCGCGGGATCCAATATTTCAAACGGCACTTGTCCCCTGCTCATCACCGAAGTGGCACACCCTCAGCATCGCGGCAAGGTCACGACTCTCTACAACACGCTCTGGTACTTAGGTAGTATCATTGCGGCCTGGTCTTGTATGTACCCAGTTCCCTGGAACCCGAATCATGGCATCTTACTAATGATTGGTGTGAAATAGGCTTCGGAACGCTCACAAAACAAGCCGGCGATCTACAATGGCGACTACCTACCGGATTGCAGTGCATGATGCCGGGCATCCAGTTGATGGCCATCTGGTTCCTCCCCGAGAGCCCAAGATGGTTGATCAGCAAGGGCAAGGAGGCCGAGGCGAAGAAGGTTCTCATCAAGTACCATGGCAACAACAATGAAAACGACGAATTCGCGCATTGGGAGTTTGCCGAGATCACTAGCACTCTTCGGCTTGAGAAGGAGGCTTCGGCACAAAGCGGCTGGATGGAACTCGTACGAACTCCAGGAAATCGCAAGCGTTGCGGGCTCATTATTGCGACTGCCATCTTTTCCCAGTGCAGTGGTAACGGTTTGGTGTCATACTATGTAAGTTTCTTGGTACTCCAAAGCAGCCCGCAGGTGCTCTCAGAGTTGTGAACTTTGAGAATACAGGTTGAAGAACATTGCGTCTAATCAAAATTGTGCAGCTTGCCGTTATTCTGGGAACTATTGGCATCAAAGAGTGAGTTTTAAGTTCTCTGCAATGGTTGCGGTCAATGAAGTATCTGACGAAGGTTCTCAGCTCCATCACACAATCCTACATCAACGGTGGCCTGACCATCTGGTGCTGGCTTGTCTCGCTCACGGCCGCCTTTTTCGTCGACCGAATCGGACGCCGAGTACTCTTTCTTTTCGCCGGCGTCGGTATGCTCATCTCATTCTCCATCTGGACGGCTTGTAGCGCAGTGTACGCCCAAACCCAGTCTTCATCGGCTGGCATCGCCGTTGTGGCTATGATCTTCGTCTTCTACGGTGTCGCGGGAGCCGCTTGGCCCGGCCTGACCGTCTCCTACACCGTCGAGATCCTGCCGTACAATATTCGCGCCAAAGGCCTCACCTTGTGTTTCTGCTTCACTGCACTGAGTGGTGTCTTTAACCAATGGGTCAACCCCTTGGGGCTTGAGCAGCTGGAGTGGCATTTTTACTTCGTTTACATCGCCATGTAAGTGCCCTTGCTGGATGATGCTGTCCTGAATAGAAACTGACGAAGCGGTATCCACAGTCTGGTAATTGAGTGCCTGGTCATATACTTCTTCTTCGTGGAGACAAGGGGTCCTACATTGGAAGAAATTTCCATGCTCTTCGACGGCAAAGATTCTGCGGCTGGAGTCGCGAGGGTTCACGCTCAGGCAAAGGTTGAGGAGGTTGAGAAGAGAGAGCGCGCATAAGCATAGCACATATTGATATAGCAAGGAAGAACAAGCAGCATCAGTACAAGCCAACACTAAGATTGGGGCACGATCTGCTGCTATGACTTATAGGAGTTTCGTAACCTGGTGACGCCCCTAGCTCACCGGGAATTCAAGTGAACGGCACATCCCACAGGCCTCTTATCCGATTTGAGATATCCACATCGTTCCAATTGGTCCCATTCTCTGCAAGGTTTAAGTTGATGTGGAGGCATGTGATAGCGATCCTACTCTGACCACTCACGAGCTACTGCTTGGACCTACTCAGCAATGGAAGCCCCGAGGAAGCATGCGTGGGGATGTTGTAGTTTTCCAAGGCTAGGTAGTCTGCAGCATCTTAGTTGTTGATCGATGACTAGACCGACACAATGCCACCTTAGATCTTGAAGCTGTACCTGACGATCTTTGCGATGGCTGAGATACGCTCCACTTTTGAGCAGGTGTCTCACGTCAGGTTGGCTTCGAGTATCTTGACGTGCGAAAGCCATGATAGACCACTGCCCAGTGACGCTGAAACCAATGGTTTGGCTGGATGCGGACACATAGAATGTGTTCATCCATGAACATGTGATAGCCATGAAATTGCCATCCACTCTCAGAAATCTCGGTCTCCGTGCCCTGGCATACGTTGCGTGAGGAAACTTCGAGAATTGAAGACAGCAGTATTTTGACCAACCGACAACCTGAGTGGTCGAAGTCTCATACGCAACCCTTTGTACTATATTACTTACCTGCTTACTTATGGGCAGGTAAATCGCGGGCAGGTGCTCTGCTCATTTCCCGTATTACACATATTGTCCTTTGTTGCAGCCACGTGCAAATTATGCTCACATATGCTCTTGGTTTCTTCATAACAGGTGATATATAACGAACTATTGGAGGGAATTGTTTTGCCTGGTCAATCTTGGCACCGATGTAGTGGTCAGGCTCCCCAGTAAGTATCCTTGGTGACCTGATGTAAGACTTCGCGATGCTGAAAGGTTGGGGCAAAGACAAGCCAGTGCAGATGAGACTTGGCTCGCAGCCTGCCAAGTATTCTTCTACTGTCTCTAGTGGTGGCAATGAGAGACGCGAGTACCTGTGCCACTTAGAACGCATGGCGTACATGGCTTGGCAAGCAACCATCACGACGCCACATTCTCCCATTTTTGTCTCTAACTTTTATCAGGTTTTGACTTATTCCTAGATGATAATCCTCTTCCATCAGTCTCGCCAGGTCTATTGAATGCGAATACGTTATCCCAATAATCCTATGTTGGGGTTGTCGTGCGAATACTCTTCTTTCGTAAAGAAAATGAAGAACGTTGCTTCCAGGCGAGGCCCCTGAAGATACGATAGACAACTCTTGTGACTGGCACTGAGGCCCTACTTATTGACCAATAATGTATGATGCAAGTTAGCAATGTATTGCTGGTCACAGCTGGATTCTCCAGATTATCATCTCCGCCCCCGCACCCCCAACGACGCAATCTTTGTTTCCCCGCAAGATCGTCAGCCTCGCCTGAAGGCATCCAGACTTCGACCCATGAAGCCAAGCTTTTCTTTTCCCGGGGAAAATCCCACCTCTCTCGATTCCCCAATAATAATGAGCGGGGTGCGGGTCCGGGGTCGCGCCGGCCAGCTGGGACATCAGCCTGGCGTTCACCAGACCGCTCAAGCGTGGGCATCTCGAGAAACGCCAAGCTTTGCCAAGGGGCTTGTAAGCCCATCCTCGAGCATTGATTCATGGGAATTTTGACCTTCAATCCTCCGTTGCATTCTTTCCTACATGTTCCCTTTCCCATGATGTTTTTGACAATCTAGTAGGGTAGCACCAATGACGGGGTTGGATGTGAGCTCTTGGAGCTATGTCATCCATCAACCGCGCAACTCGGAGAGCTCTGAGAGGTTTGGACTGAAAGGTGAAAGATGTGGAAAAATTAGGTATAAAGGAAGCGCGACGACCTGCAAGAGGCTCGGGTTACATCGAATGGTGAAGATTGTTCTCTCATATTCTTGATTGATCGCAGAAAGTCCGAGGCCTTTGACGCTCTCAACGCGACCTGATATTTTCGCCGAGATCGTTGCATACTGCAGTCACCATGAAGGTCAACAGCGCATCAGCTTTCTCTCTTCTGCTTGCTCTGGCCCAATCCGCTGCCATTGAGCGTCGCCAGCAAGGCGATGGCCCAGGCGGATCCGCAGATGCGACGCAAGGCGACCTTGGTGAACGGCCACCGCCGCGGTTCCCGTTTCCTGTCACCAAGTTCCCGGTTTCGAACGAGACTGTTGTCCTTAAGGAAGCCATGTACATTCTTCCTGGGCAGGTCTTCGACGGAGGCATGAAGCGTTACGAGCGTGTTGAAGGCAGCTGCAATGAGCAAGCTGGTATGTTTGACCCCGGTGTGATTTCTGCTATGATCCAAAAACCTATACTAACTCTGTCCATCATTGCAGAGGGCACGGATGCCGACGCGGTCTTCAATCTTCTCCCTGGCTCGACAATCCGCAACGTCATTATTGGCAAACACCAGGCTGAGGGAATCCATGCATTGGGCGACGCATGGGTTGAGAATGGTGGGACAGTGTCCTGTTTTAGAAGTGCCAAGCTGATTGTGTGACAGTGTGGTGGGAAGATGTTTGTGAAGACGCCCTCACCTCGAAGGGCTTGAACACTCAACTGAGAGTGATTGGTGGCGGCGCTCGCAATGCCACTGACAAGGTCGGCCTTTCTCTCTGCGCCATGACTAGTAAGAAAATTGCTGACCTTTCTGGAAGATCTTCCAAGACAACTCTCTTGGCGGGAAGTACAACATTACTGGCTTCTATGCTGATGGATTCGGAGTTCGTCAAACCTCTCTCCATGCTCACCATGTTTAGAAATCCCACTAATGTTATACCTCAGACTTTCTACCAATCTTGCGGTAATTGTCTGAACCAGTCAAAGCGGAATGCAACCATTCAGAACGTTATCGCAATCAATGGCAACAGAATGGGCATCGTGAGTACCCAATCATTATGCCTGGGTCTTTGACATGCGGCTAATATCCTGTCATCGACAGATTAACCCTAACTACGGCGACGAGATTCGCATCAAGAACACTCAGCTGAAAGACTTGAAGGTGATGATCGACAAAGAGATTGCAAACAACATGCAAACCGTTCCAATCACGGTTGGCACCGGCCCAGATCAGAAGTACGCCCTGTACAACGAGACGAGAGACGCCATCACCGAATGGGAGGGAATTGTGGAGAACGCATACGAGCCCGAGGAGCCATATGAGTGGCTTGAGGCTTACTGGCCGGATGGATTCAACTGATTGCCTCAGATGCGACGATTGCCTCAGATGCGACATGGCTTAAGGCCGACTGCGATGTGGTGCTGAAGGCATGACACTGTTAATCAATATCCTTACTAATTTCCCCAAACAAATTGATAAACAACATTAAGAAGATGAGCTTTTCAGATCTATTATTTGATTACGTTGGGTGTGGCTGTCGGAGTTACTCGATTCTCTCTGGAGACCGAATCTCGTTGCCGGGACCCGGAAGCCCGACTGTCCCGGCCCCGAGTGACCCACTGAATCCGATACCCACCTCGCCGGCACGGCCCTCGGGCTATTGCGACATCGATGGAGTTGGATGTTATACGAAGCCAACAGAGAACGGGAGAAGATGGAAAAGTCTCAGTTGACTCTTATCATTGCGCCTTGTCATGCAATCAGTCTCAATAGAACCTAGTCTGTCGGGGAGATAGTCATTCAGCCACCTTTCATGCGTGCCGACTTCCGGTGCAATCCGGAAACCATGCATGTTCTCCCCTGCAACCACGTTGTTGGTCTTTGTGACCCCCCAAATGTCAAAAATCGATTGTTCCTTGCGGACACCGAGATCAGTCCGGATGGGTATTGGGTTGGCGCGTCACATCCAAGCCCTGCTAGCCTCCCTTGCTCTCGGGACAACACGCTACTGTATCGCAATGTCTTACTCGGCCGCGAGCCTTCAAAGTAGCCCGCGTCAATGGCCGCATCGGTGCATGTCCCCGCGTCAGTCTCATGCAGGTCGCACCCGTTGGCCTCGCTTACCGTCAACGGCGAAGGAGAGTGAGCAACGACGCATCTTGATTCTTGAAGCTGTGCTGGCCGCATGGAGCGAGACTGCAGCTGAGAATTTGGAAGGCAAACGAATTTGCAATAAATCCCTGCTGAGTTGTAATTGTCGGAGGAGGCGCAGTATTCAACGGGTAGCTGCGTGCAGGAGCTGAGCGTGGCACCATGCAAAACCAACAGAGTTGTTCGTTCGAAACCGTCAAACGGTTCGTCCCAGAGGACTTCGTTCCCCACTATTGAAAACGGCGTTTGGCATCATTGGCTACATTCCAGAGAAACCTCTGTTGGTCGGATAAAGGCCAAAAGTCTAGAGCTAAAACGCATTAAAGCTGGCAGGGCTCGTATTGACAGCAGCCGTGACAAGTCTCGGCTTCGGACAGACTCAGCTCCAAGGGGGGTAGAAAGTTGATCATTTTCTTTTTTGGGGTGATGATGCACAAAGTGTTCGTCCACGGGACCGGTTGCATCTCTTTGCACCAACAGGCCTTGGCAATCTGCCCTGGCAAACAGTCCAACCAGCCAACCTAAGACATGGCCCACGCCGTCATAACTAGGACCGCAAGGGATATAGCTACCAACGCTTTCCCACCCTTTCCCTCCCGCGTTGTTCGTCACCCGTCCCAGCCATTCTTTTTCTCCGTGGCAAGTGAGAGCCGAATTGTTGCCCCTCACGAACTTCTCTCCTCACGACACGAGCACATCCGCGAAAGTCTACTGGTGGACTGCGACGACAACGAAGGAAATCTTGTTGACGGGGGAGGAATGTGGGACAGGAAAACATCATGAGCTCGTCAAATCCCTACATCAGCAATGGTACATGCTACCACGGACCAGGAGACGAGGTGGGAGAATGGTTTCCGTGTGGAAATGCAGACCTTGGGTACAAGACTTGTTGCCAGGGCGGCGACATGTGCTTGTCAAGCCATGCTTGCTACAATGGTCGGTTCGGAATCACATATCTCGCGGGTTGTAGCGACCCAGACTATCGAGACGCGAGTTGTCCGGATAAAGGAGCCATGAGTGGTAGGTCGCAGTCGCCATGATGAGAGAGATGTATCCATGGGCATAAGACTAACTATTTGATATCAAGATCAACCATGGGCAGGTCTAGTCTACTGCAACGGCACTTCAGAACAATGGGTGGCTTGCGAACAATCGGCGAAGCCCACGACTTTGACATCAGCAGACGCGTGCTGGTGCCCACAAACATCCCGAACCGTCGCCTTCACCGATTCCTCGATCCTCCAAAACGTTGTACAGCTTCCGACCTCACTTGGAGGAAGCGTCATCTGGCAGCCTGGCTATGTCCCGATTCTTACACAGCCCAATACAACCCCGACTCCAACTTCACCTGCCCCGACGACCGCTCAAGCTCAACCTCCCACAACTACAGCATCAAGCACAACATCACATCCGACTGCAACACAAAGCTCTTCATCAGACGATACGGCGGGTCTGACGACAACTACCAAAGTCGGACTCGGCGTTGGTATCGCGGGAGGGTGCCTGGTCCTCATGGCTGCTTTGATATACATATGGTACTCCAGAAGGAAATTGCGACAAACGGGGGCGGCAGAGATGGATAATGCGACTGAAAAGGGAAATGGGTACGAAGGCGGTATGGCCAAGCCATATGAAGCGAATTCGGCGCGGCCAGAGTCCGAAGCAACTGAGTTGGACGGCACCTCCCGGCCCTTCAAATTCGAACCAGCGGGCTTTGGATACAGGGGCAGTCCAAAATTGGAACCAGATAAAGGATGGGCACAATCGCCGAAGACTCCAGTGGCAGAGTTGCCTGGATAGGGCTGGGATGGAAAGTGCTTGGATATACCAGAATAGATTAAATAGGATTGTTAAGAAACAGGTATCGTTTGGGTATCCACCGCGTTATTCTAGTTCTCGGTAGATCCGGCAGGTCGCTTAGTCTCGCCCTCTGTGGCCGAGCCGGATGATTCTTGGACATTCAGCATCGTAGCGGCGGGATTGTTGGTCTCTGAGACGTGGTTCGCCATGCCGTACCAACAAACCACGCAGATGCCCAGAACGCCTGAGATGGTGCTGAAAACAAACGCGACAATTCCCTTGGTCGTGAATCTGAAATTCTGTTAGTGGTACATCTAGGCCGTGAGGAGTTTGATACTTACCCAGCCGGAAGCGGATCGGGAGGTGCGTTCTGGCCGCTGAGGTCCAGAAGGTTCTTGGTGTTGCCGGCAGCGTTACCTGCAACGGGCACGTTTCCAGCTGCACAAACATCGAGATGGTTCTGCGGCAGAGTGAGGGACTTTTGGATCTCCAGCGGTGCCTCAACAAAGGTCGCCAGCAACCCCGAGGTAACATGCCACTCGATGTGGCAATGGAACAGCCAGATGCCTATATGAAAAGAGGATTAGTATAAATCCCAGTTTTAACCATATCGCAAGGACATGTTACCTGGGTTGTCTGCCTTGAAGCGGAGGACGATGTTTCCATCGGGCCAGAGGACGAGAGTGTCGCGGCGCATAGGGACGGCGGGGAAGTCACTCTCAGTCATGTTTGAGTCTGCAAAAGTACCGCTCTCTTCTTCACCACGGTACAGAGACTGGAAGTGATGCCCGTGAAGATGAAACGGGTGGCGACCGGAATCCAGGTTGTTGACCACGATTTGAACGATCTGGTCCTTCTTCAGAACAAAGCTGTGGGTGTAGTCGCCGTAGACTTCGGCATTTTCCGCATCGGCACCGGTTGTAAGTGCAGTGTACAATGACGGAACCACTGGTGCCTTGTAACTAATGTTGTTGAAGAACGCATAGTTGGCACCATCACCCAAGTTGTCCATGATGACGTTGAGCTCAACGGTCTGGTCTGGCTCTCCGAAACGAGCCAACTCGTCGTGTGGTACCAGCGTCATGTCGTCGAAAGGATTGAGCTCATCGATGAATGCCGGCTCCGGAAGTGAGTTGCTCTCATTGTACACCAACCACCCTGTGACGTTCCAGTTCAGATCATCGGGCAAAGTGTCGAACAATGTCTGGAGGTGAAAATATCGACATTAGCATTTGAGATGGTTTCTTCACGAACGGCCTTATGTGTCTGCATCATTCTGGAAGATTCAAGCTTACCGTGTCCATACTACCGACGATAGCGAAGTTCTCGGCCGTGGAGTTCTTGGTTGTGAGAAGGAAGCTGCAGCGCTGGGCGACGGACAGGTAGATCATCTCAGCAGTCGCCTGTTGTGTGTAAACACCGTCAACTTCGATGATAGACATGTTGTGCCCTTCAAACCAGAGATATTGTCCTGCAAAAGCACCAATGTTGATGACGCGCATCAAGTAGGTCTTGCCTGGCTGAATCGAGATGGTGAGGTTCTGCGTCTCATTCATCAACGCTGCCTTTGGCACAGGCTCCGCGCCGGTGGGGTTCGTCTTGCTCATGAACGGCGGGATGAGGTTCTGCATCTGCTCATGGTACCAATCTGAAAGCGTCAAGACGATTTCCTCGTCGTAATCCCCGGCATAGGGATTGTCCGGATCATGGATGATGAGACTGCCGCGGAGTCCGTCTGGGTACTGGGACATGGTGTGCGAGTGATACCAGTATGTGCCCGGTTGGGTGATCTGGATCACCGTGAAGATTGGCATTAGTAAACACTCCGTTGCTAGAGTTCGTAGCCATGCGAACTATAACGTTATAAGGTGTGACTACTCACGGTGAAGTTGTAGAGGAATGATGAGCCCGGCGGGATGGGGCATTGCGACACCTGGGCCGGACCATCCATGTGCGTGGTCCCGTTCATGAACAGCCCGTGAAAGTGCAGCGAAGTGGACTGGTTGCCCAAGTCGTTGTGCACGTTGATCACAATGTTGTCGCCAATGTTGGCCTCAATCTGGGGAATGGGCCATTTTCCATTGATGCCAATGACGGGGCGGTCGAAGGCACCGTCGGGGTTGGCAGTGACCCAGCCGACGGTGAAGTCGTAGTTGACTGTCGCTGCAGCAGCGAGCCGCGAGGCCAGGCACGCGAGCGCGAGAGACAGAGTCTTGACCATGGCGACCTCAGTTCACTCTATGGTCCAGTGAAGATGGTCGATGGCGTGTCTTCCGTAGGCTGTCTCGAATGACAGAAGTAGCCGCGATGGGAATTGGCGAGGAGTGCGATGTCCTGGCTGGCTGTCGATGAGAGGAAGACGAGAACTTATCTCTGGCTCTTCGACAGGAAATGAGGTGGGTGGCACCCTACTGTAAGGGAAAGAAGGGAAGATAGGAGGAGCAACCGTTGCCGCCGATATCAGTCTTCGATCCTCTCAAGTTGAACGGGTTGGAGTGTCGGGCGACATATCGGAGTCATCTGATTTTTCTTCCCTCCCGGAGGCTGGCCGACTCTAGACGAACAGGGTCTCTCAGAGGCAACGTTTCCGGGACGCCACTTTCCATGGAAGTAAAGCCAAATCCATGCCGGCACAAAAATCACTCAATTATCTTATCCATCTGATCAGCAAGCACCGGGGTTAGACTAGTAGGGCAGAAATGCTTAGCACCGGGAGACCCTTCGGGGCCTCCTCCACCCGTCGCCCCCCACCATCACACGACCGGCCTGCGTATGTGGAGACATCTTCGGTTCGAGCTTGCATTCAGATCCATCTTGTAGCGGTACGGTCGAGATACATTCAACGACATGGCTACCAGGATTGTGTTTGAGCGCCGCTGTGTTGGAAGTGGAAGCAATTTTAACAGCGTAGTACGAGTGTTACGACTCACGTTGAGCGCCAATGATCATCGCAAGTGTTTGGAGGAGAAAATACCTGATAGGACTAGCCGAGAAACACCCGCTCTTCTCGATCTGTTTCCTGCCCAGCTCGGACCTGGTAATCCAATCTAATCGATCCATCAACCACCCCTGAGGTGATGGGAGGAGAATCAGCACACCTCCAAGATCCGCAGAGTTTTACAATATCGACCTCCCATGTATTGGTGGGTTCATCTGGACTCCTTGCCCTCCGATGATTGCCGTGTCGACATACCTAGACCCCTCCGAATCCGAGCTCGGCTTGGAGAAGCACCAGACTCAATCCGATAGGCACGACTACTCCCCTTCGATCAGCAAGCCAGATTGATAAAGACTTTCATCGCCTCATCGATCTCGGCTAAGAGACCTCCCACCTTCGCTCCGAACTAGACTT